TTCTCTGGTTTTCATTGAGCATTTTATATGACTTCATCTTATCTCCTCTTGATGTAACACTTACTTTCCTAACTTTTTTGGTCATTGCCATAGGTTTGCAAATACACATTTTTAAATAATCTAAGTTTGTCTTCAAAAGAATGTAATCACCACTTTTAATCACCCCTTTGAACAATATAGAGTAGGCCTTCTAAAGGTAAGAATCTAATCACTTTCTTTTTTTATTGTGTTTATTTTATGGTTCCTTTTTATTTCTGGCCAGGAATAGTGGTGTTTCCATTCACACTAGTGTTTAAAAATTTCTTTATAAAAGAAAAAGTGAGATTTACAGGTCTTGGTCCACACCTGATTATCCTGGTCAGTGGGAACTCACACCTTTAATTGTTTTAAGTTAATTGCTTTAAGTTAATTATTTTGGCCTGGGATTTTTCTCCCCATCAGGTGCATTAAAGACAATACCTATGTCAATCTCCATTCCCGCCAGAAGAACGTGACTCAGTTCAAGTTCAATGCCTTCGGCTTTCTCAACAGCCACAGTGTGGTTTATCTGCAGTGTAAGATCGCCGTGTGCAAGGTGGGAGACTACGCCTCTCGCTGTTCCCAAGGCTGTGCAGGACGGAGTAGGAGAGGTGCCAGCCCCCTGGAGGCCAAGGAACAGCAGACTGAGCATTTCCAAATGGTGGGGCCATTGGAGATCCACAGACTCACTTCTTAGAGCAAGACCCTGGTGTGATTTCTCTAATTTTCCCATGAATGTGTTAGAAAGTGGTACTCCAAGTCTATTTCTCCTCAATAATGTTTGACAAATCAGAAGTTATCTATATTGAGACAGGTAAAAGAATCATCTAGAGGGGATTGCTTCCCTGAGGTTTTTTTCTGAATAAATTTTCTCTGATTGCTAAACTACTAAGGCAGTTACTCTCTTTGCAGGCTAAAAATGCTGCATTTTCTAATTCTTCACTATCAAGAACTTGACCATTGTCTTAAAGTGTACAAAATGTTATAAAGAGCAAGGTTATCTCCCTCTATCCCATTGCCAATTTAAAGATTTTTTTAAAGTTTACTCCTTAATGTTCAGATGCTATTAGGTGGATTTCTGTTTCTGTTTCTCTGGTGATCATTTATTTTCAGATCGTGCCAAAAGTCTTATGAAAAATAAACTAAACGTTGGGAAGTCACTGCTTATTTTTGTTTAATGCTAGTAACTTATCAATTGAATCAAACATGTCGCTCACTCATCAAAACAAGCTTTGTTTTGTTTCAATGGGAATAAATCGAACCCAGGTTTTGTTGGGTTTGGATTGTAGCTTGCACCTGAGAGTGTCTGAAACACAACTGCAAAAACCACACAACTGCTCTCTGAGCTGCCAGGTGCTCAAGTGGTTATGTTCTCAGGTTGTTTACCAGATCCTCAAAGCATTCGGGAAACCTAAATAGTACACACAAAGCCTGAAAAGCAAACAAGGAAAGAGTAGCATATCCCAGCATCCTCCCAGGAAAGGAGAGCAGCACCCACTTTAATCTCTTTTTACCTTAACAGAGGAGAACTGTGCTACACTCAATCCCCTCAAAGTTATCTTTAAAGAAACAAACTTGAACAAAGATTTTTTTTCTTACCAAGAAATGTTCAGTGGCAACATGTAAACAATGAGAACCCCATCTTCAAGAAATTTTCCTGGTCTTTGTCAATTAATAGCATGTTTGATGAGACTACAGGTTGTCAAGTCCTGAGGGCAGTGTTTGGTGGAGGCTGGGAACTAATCCTGAAGTGCTGAGAGAAGAAAATCTGACAAATGACCCAAGGAGGGCTATAGCTTCTCATTGGAGCATCTCAGTTTCATTACAAGCATGCCCTTCACCGATATCTGTCTTGGTAACATATGCTGATATTTATTTTGATGACGCTCCCTGCTTATACTTAGAAATTTATGAAATGTGACGACTGGCTAATTTGATGAAAAGGATATCTTTAAATCAAAGTTAAGTATTTGTTCCTGAGTAGCTTCACATCTTCAGTCATGTGAAACATTTTAGTCTGTTTCATGCCAGTGCTTCAAATGAATAAGAGTTTTTCCAAGTAATTGTAGTCTGCTAAAGTTTCTGCTTTCGAAAATATGTCTGCTCGTTCGTATGCATGTTGAGGAGGTGGAGGCTAACAGCTACTAAGGCATAGCATTCTATGACTTTTAACAAACCCTTAATGTGGAATGGGTTAACAATGAAAGGACTAACATTAAAATAAACAAATAAGGGTCCAAATGAACTTCCAGATCAGCTCCTCTTGGTGCTGTTCAAAGGATGGGGTCCAGGAAGTAGCCCTCTCCAAAAGCATTCCAGGTGATTCTCAGGAAAGCTGAAGTTGGAAAGCCATGGCCACAGTTCAACGACCCCCATCACATGAATCAAAATGCACCTAACAGGGAGAAGCCTGCAGTCAGGAGACTCCAAGGGTGCTGGCCAAAAAGATGCAAGAAAAGCCTGCTCTCTCTAGCCAAAGGACCAGCAAAGGGGCTACATAGTATGGCAGGAAACTTTTAGACAAAAGCAGTCCTACTCCAGCCAAACACCATGGAAACACCTCCATCCCAGCCAACAAAGGCTGAATGGGAAGCCTCGTCTTCCAACTACCCCTAGTGCTCCTTCCCTCCCCCTACCCTTCTCCAGGGTGGTGTCAGAGAAGGCAGAGTAGGAACCAGGATGCTCATCATCTCTGGGCAATGGTGAGGCCCTCACCTGCAGCCACACCTGCACCAGATGGGGAGCCCGGACTTCTATTTCCACCCCTGCTTGGAAGGGACGAGGCACCCCTTTCATTCTGTTCTGATCACAGGAGATCCTGAGGAGAGCCAGGACTTTTACTCCTGTCCAGAAGTAACACAAGGTGACCCTGCCCCTTAGGGCAGCAGAGGCTACGTGGATAGCCTGGATCCAACTCTGCCATGTCTCTCTAGTTCGCACGTACCTGGTATTCCATTGCCCATCCCTTTGTGTTTTTCCATTCTGAAACACTTTTTTAAAAGAGTCTCTTGAATGCAACGTTGAGTTAAATCTTGTCCTGTGAAATATTCTGAAAACCCTGCTCTTTCATAAGGCAAGTGTAGTGACCACTCTGAGGTGGCACACAGATGGAGATCCTCATCCTCCAGGCTATTGGGAGTGTTTGTGGCTGATGGATCTCAGCACCACTGCTCTCCAGGAATTTCCCTCAGCTCAAGACAGCTGTCTCATCCAAGTTCACAGCCCCTCCTCAAACAGCCTGCTATCAATGACGGGCCACAGAGGCATAGAAAGCTCTGAGCACCGTGCCGTGACATCTCTGGAGGGCCATTCCCAGGACTCACTGGGGGATTGACTGGACCTTGCTGTTGGAGCTGTTTCATGGTGCACAGCCTCCCTCCCTGGTCCTGCTGCCCTTTCTCATCACAGGGCTGACCCTGATTCTGGGCACACCCTTAAGGAAACCCCCTGCCCACAAGCCTCTGTGTCAGGGTCTGTTTCCCAGGAACCCAACTTATGGCAGTCAATACTAGATGTGGCCCAGACAGATAAGTAGAGTCTGAAATGGGATTTTGGAGGTGGCAATGGTGACTCATCACTGGTATGAGTGTAAGGTGGATGGCCTCTGTCTGCTAACACATTCTCTTGATTCATCATTACCATCCCCCAGAGGGAGGGGAGTTACCACAATCCCCTATTTTAAATCGTGGAGATCAAGGCTGAAGGTGACCTAACCCATGTAACCCACCAGGTAAGTGGCAAGAACTAGAACCCAGGCCACCAACTCCAGATCCAGGACTTTTCATTGCTATTCTAAAGAAAAAAACTTAAATACATAGCAGCATGAATACTGATAATGCATTGATATATTTCAGTATCTCCACTTCAAAGAACTTTCTGAATCATGGTAGTATATACTCTGGCAAATCACAATATTTGATCATTTCTTAATATTACACTCCCGTGTTAGCCAGCAGAGAATGTCCAGTCTGTTTCCGATGGAAAGATGGCTGAGTGGCAGCGACCAGACTGGACAGATGTGCTGTTCTTAAGTTCTTAATGTGATTTGCTCATTCTAATGGAATTTCTAGGGGTTTTCATGTTAGGCTATAACTTTTCAATAGCTCCATTTAGGTTTTATGAACAAACACAGAGTCACTGCATGACTGCTTGAGGAAACATTTGGGAGACCTACATGCAGATCTTAAAAAGAAAATGGGGAAGATCTGTTTTGATCTGGAACTAGAAAGCCAATCAAGCCCCTAAGGACCTGTTCTGTTTGAGTGGAGATCCCACCATATCCATTATATGTTCCCTTTCAGCACCCTATAGATGCAATACATGTTTGTAGGGCATTCAGGAAAAGGGTTACCTGTCTGGATGCATATTAGAACCTAAACTATGTGTGCCATTAAATGATGAGGGAACATTGTATTATGTATCTAAGGTGATTGGATCTGATGTTTGGCACATGTAAAATCAGTTCGCACTGGGTCTTTAACCATATTTGTTCAGTGACAGTAAATGGGAAAGTATAAATCAGAACTGGCTGCACCGTGTTGGGATGATTTGCCTTTGACTTTGGTGCTTGATGGTGAAGGGAGAGAGAAATGTGGCTTTTCACCCATTAACCCAGAAGTGGTCTGAAGTCTCTGTTTTATAGTCACATTCTTCTATTTAGCCCTTTCCTGAAATGCTTAAGGTGCCAAAGAATTGAAAGAATTCCAGTTCTCCCTCCCCCGCTTTAGTTTCAGAAATTCTCTTTTGACGTTTCAAAAAGTAGCATATTTCCATCTAAAAAATAAACACGCCTAACTCTGAAGACTATTGTTAAGTAAAAATAACCATTTTGTTTTCACCTAATATTTGTTTAAAATGTGCTCTATGGAAAGAGGTGGTGTTTTTAATGCCTGTAATATGTTGGTATCTTTAGTTCCTACAGTGAGAGCCAACTGACATGACATTTATTTATTTCAGCCATTCCTGTAATGAAACACACTGGCACAGTGACATGAAAGCCTGTGTATCACTTTCAGGCCTTTCCTCATTTATTCGTAATGGTGTAGCCACAAGGTACCGTTTCCTTTGGCATCCTGGAAAAGCATGTCTCACTTAGAACTGGACCCATTAGCTAATAGTTCTGCAGCTTCTGGTATTTGTAGTCTGCCCGTTGATTTAAAAAATGCCTCACTGTGACTGTGGCCACGATCACTACATTCAGAGCTAGAACCATGATTGAAAATAGATGCAAACTGTTGAAAGGCTGGTTCTGAGTTTCTTCTGCATGTGTTTGATGCCGAAGATCTGTAATTAAAAAAAAAAAAGATGAAAATTATTTTTTAAAAGTATTAGCATTACAAGATGGTGGTAACGTTTATAATATCTGTACATACCCTATGAATCTTATGCATGAATTAATACATAATGCATAATGCCAACACAATATAGAGGAATCATTATCAAATATTTGAATTATTTTTTGTTTCATTTTAAATGTATTTGTTTCCAGTGTTTGACTTAGCTTGGTTTCTTGCTGTAACATGAAAGATATGTGAAATTCAAACATAATAGTCCAGTAAAAATGCAAGTTCATTTATTAATTGTCACTATTTCTCATAGTTATCAAAATACAATGCTCAACAGGAAAAAAACAATTTTTTATTCCCTTGAAATAGGAAAAGGAGAGGTTTCTAATATGTGTGATATTTCTATAGTGACTTTCAATCACAAATTTTCAACAATTTCAAACCAGTATCTATAGAGGCACTGTGCAAGCCTCTTAGTGAATGTGTTTATAAAATTACTGAACTTAAATATTTTGCTATAAAACCAGACCATACTCCTTAATAATGTTAATAATAATAAATAAAGACACAGGTCATAGGGTCACTTAATGTCTTTACCACTAAGATAAATTCTTGAAAATAGTTTTTATTTCATTATGGCATATCTTAAGTCATTTAATTATGAGCAATCCTTGAGTATTTACTATCACCCCTTTCCCATGCCACCAGGCAGATCTCAAAAGAAGCATGGCTGTCCTGTGTTCATATACTAGATTATTTGTTGCTTTAAAATAACTTTTTTTTCCTAAATGGGTGATTATGTAGATTGCTGGTTCATCTTCTTTTACTCGCTTAGGAGTTAAAATACATTGCTTTTGATTCAGTTATCTGCTATGACAACTAAAATAAGGAATCAAGAAGCTAAGGAAACTGTTATTTTTAGAGATGAGGGTATTACCCTCATACTCAAAAGCCATATGAATAATTGTGAATTATCAGTGTATCATATTGCTTGTACTGTAGGCTGTATGCATGTTATCAACTGATGAAAATAAATATTAATCCTGTGTGCTTAAAACTCATCACTTATTCACTAAAACTCCTATTATAAATCTCTAAACTGTACATGCTGAAGAACTACTAGATTTGAGTAGCATTTTATGAGTCAGGAGGTATTCTTAGATCACACACAAAAAAAACTTTTTCCCTACCTGAATTACCACTTGCACTTCGATCTCTCTTCAGCCGAATGGGTCCTATGATGGAATCAGTCTTCCACTTGTATGATGAAATGTCTCGTTTCCTTCTAGAGACACAACCTTGATTGCAGCGAGACTGGGAGTCACTACTATCACATATCAAAACTTTACACTGCAGGTACACAGAGCTCAGACTTCTCAAGAATTTAAAGGCATTAAACTGGAATCTTCCATAGTGTCCAAATAAGGGATACACCTTACAAGTCTCATCTCGACTGCATCTGAAACAGAATTTAGGAGCATGTATATAAGATGCACAGAAGCTCAATCCTTTTATACTAAAAAGAGACAATACAAACTTTTCTCTGAACTATCTTACTTGTGAATCCAAAAATCTCTATATGAAAGGCAACATCTCTAGTTCAGACTATAGAGAGCTAAGACTCTGATACCTGAGTAAAATAAGATTCCTTCTAGCTCTAAAATTCCTAGCCCATGTGAATTAACTGGAAAATCGATATTTACATATTGGAAGTCAAACACCTTTTCTTACATACTTATTAATATATCGGTATGGATAATTTAGTTAAAATCCATCAGCTTTTAGAGAAAAAAGGAAACTTTTCCTTTCAAAGAAGAATTTTACACTTTTAAGAATACTACATATATTTTGCTGATGGCATTACATTGTCAATGACATATGAAATAATCTTCTGAGCTTTTGTTGAAAATAACCAAAATGTACAAAAAAGCAAAACACAAATAGAGCTGTCATGACAAAAAATAAATTTGTTTTCACAAGCAAATATTTTGTGAATGCACTTAAAACCCTAGAGGACATAAGCTATGTCTGTATAAATGTTTTAAATTAAATTATTTGTAACTAGTATATGTTGGGAGCCAACATCTATAGCTACATGGCTGAGGCCTGTAAAGGCCCATCTGGAAGATTGCCTCTGACATAGGATATCAGTTATACCTATAATATTGGCGTGTGATTAGTGACCAGTGTGCATATATGGCAGTAAAACTTATAAGTAAATATCAATATGCCTGATGGAAAGTGCACAGCAGAATTATTTTTCTCTGTCTTTCTAAGTTTTACTTCTTTCTAGATATTTTTTAACTTCTATTTCCTGGTAGACTGGGTAGTCAGCTCTTGTTCCTGAAAGCAGTTTCCCCTAGGGCTAAGATTAGAAACTAAATTACCATAATGGTTTTGTCACCCTGCCCCTAGCCAGGCAGAACGTTTTCTTTTGTTTCGTTAATTACCGAAACTCTGTCTGCTTCAGCCCATGGCTGCCATCATGGCTGCCATGCATTTCCTTGTTCAAGAGTGTGACAGTTACTATTTGATTTTTAGAGTAGACTTGTTAGGATAAAATATATACATATACACTCATAGTTGTGTAAATTTATGCTTGGTGTTTTGTTTCCTTTTGCTACATTATTCAAATATAATAGTTACTATAAAATTTATAAAAGAATTAATGATGAGGTATTAGCTTAATAGGATATAGCATAGTATTAAAGGTCAATCATTAGATTATATAAAAATTAAAGTTTAGACAGATGAAACTCATATGAATTATAGTAAAGTTTGGTAGTTTAAGAATAAGTTTTAACTGAGTTATAAGGCATTATGTTAAATCATAATAAGTTAATAGTATAACTAACAGTTAAGTCATTTAAGTAAACTTATAGATTATAGTATAGTGTTAAGTTGATAATATTAATCATTAAAAAATATTAGGAGTCAGTAAACTTAGAGTTAACTTAGAAAGTTTTTGTATTAATCAGGGTTTAGAACAAAGAGTATAATATGAATGATTTATTGAACATTATGGAAAACACTTTGAATGATCTGTATTGAAATTGTGCACCTGTGACCTTAATGTGGGTTTTGTGAAGCACGACAGGCATCATGGAATTCGAATTGTTTACTTGGAACTTGCAAATCTCATGATGGTCTTGTGATGCATAGTTTGTAAAGCATGGAACTTGTACGCCCCCAGCAAATGATTATCACACTGCTGGAGGGTATAGAAAATGGTATCTAACTTGGAAAAGGTCCGAATAAAATTTGACTTCAGTCCTGATCAGACTGTTCCCAGAAGAACTGCCTCTGAGTGGTCTCTTCTCTCCGTCCAGATTCTCCGGTGTGGTCCTAACCCTCCCTCCAAGGTCAGAGCGGGTCTCCGACAAGTATATAAAAATGAAAACTATTTTTATAAAGCAATAAAATTCCATGGTAGTAGTACTAGGAATAATTTATGTACACACAAAAAAATTATTAAAATCATTATTCTCAGAAAGGAATATCATACATACATCAATTACATCAATACATACCCACTCTTGATTAAGTCATAGGTTGGAGATGCAAAGTCAGAGGTGGGAGAAGCTTTACAGGTATCAAGAAACACTACCAAATTTGGATCTGAAGTGTGTAGACTGACTTGAACGAAAAGAGTCTGGTTCAAATCCACATAATACGGTGATTCGAGAATAATCTTTTCAAATGAATTGGATTCAAAAAGAGCCATGCTTGTATTATATTTGCCCAGAGCATTTTGATTTTGTATGACATCATCTTCTGTTATGTACATCATCTCCACAGTAGAATTATGTTCCATTTCACACTTCATAATAATCTGGAGATGCTTCTGACGGGTGATCACTGCAGATGTCGGGGACTCAGAAAAGGTGATTATATTGGTGTAAGTAATTGACTGATCTTCTACCTGCAGAACAAGACAGAATTCAAAGTTTATGCTAAAAGCCCAGTATATTTTAGAGCAGAGATGTAATATTTTTAGATAGAAACATATTTTCTTAAATCACAAGATAACAGCTTTCATGTTAAACAGTTTTTATTCATGTTAAACAGTTTCATGTTTCAAACTATAAACCTTAAATGTGCTTCATGAAGAAATATTCTGGGAAAGAAAGAAAATAAGGGCTGAAAGACACAGCTTGCATTAGACAAACTTGAAGACAGAAGTTTTTTCAGATCCACTAAAATTAATTTTAAACACAAATCTCCAGCCTTATGAAAACTTTTAAACTCTACAACATATTGCCTTCCTTAAGGATACTACGTTAGTGTGACTAACTGGACAGTTTTCAAAATGTACATAGACAGAGGGTCTGCAATTAGTACTCCCTTGGCTGCCTTCCCTGGGGGCCCATGGGGTAATAAATAAAGCCTGTGTGTTCATTTTTAGCAAAAAAGGATGATTTACTTCTGTGCTTAGCAATTCCTCTGGATTAACTTCTACTCTTTTCAATTAGATTATTGTTTATTCTCCTGAGTGAAAAGTTTATGGTATGTATTCTAAAGGGACCCACAGGTTTGAACTGTTTGAGATCTTGAATGCGACTTCCAGAGAATGTGGAACAAATCACAATCTTCCTGTAATAACCTTCATGTTTAAAATAAGAATAATGTTTTTATCATTTGTCTTTACAATGGAAAAAAAGGCGATCATAAAAATCCAGCCAGATTTCTATTAAATATGAGATGTAAACATTTTCTGCAGAAGTATTATTATAAACCCACTGCATATAGATGGTCAAACTCTCTCTAGTGAGTTTTCAAAGTTATTTACCTTCTGGGAAGGATAACTACCCTCCAGTTACATTGAAAACAAATGCAGCAATTTGGCACTTGTGCATGAATGAGTGGGTGCACTTATATGTCCCCACATGCTTACCCTGTGTTAAACCACTAAGATCTGTGATTGGTTGTTAAATCAGCTAGCAAGTATACCCTCACTGTATCACCCAACATGCATTTGGCATTTGACAAAGCCCGACTATCAGTGTTTCACTTTACCTTTTTGATGGTACCACAACTGCCAAGAGGGATAGAAAATTCCACAACATTTGATACTTTTGGTCTGCAAGTTGGATCAATTAGTTGTAAGTTACCCTCATTATAGTTAAAAGACTCTAGGTAGGATTTACTTATGATAACTCTCATCTTGTCAGAAGAGCAAGTCAAAGATGCTGTCCAGAAAAAAGAGAGAGAGAGAAAAATGATCATGTTTATGCCAGAAAGGAACTTTGAATCTTTAAGAGCAGGTGCAAGTGAATATATAAAAAGTCAACCCCATTTTTCCCTAAACAGTAAGCAAAAGCCTGAAATAGCCAAGTGGTTGATTCACCTTTTACAGTGTTAATCGTGACCTTGTTTGGAGCTAGGATTTATAAACCTGATATTTTTAACTGTGTCTTTGCCAAAGGAATTAAGGGCAACAGTTCATATTTTCTACAGAAATATTTTTTGGGTTAACAAAGTCACTGATTTTCTCTTGTGTTAAGCAACGCACAGAACTGATTCTCAAGTTTCAGACTGTGAATATGTCCCCAACTATTTACAGGCTTGTATATAGGGATAACCATGGGTAGGCTAAGAATTAAACTAAAGTTTTAACATATGCAAAATCTTCCTACATTACTCAAAACAGCTAAGGAACATAAAACGTGACTTACTAGTGTTGATGTTTTCTGTATAAATTGAGGTATAGGAAGCAGAAAAGCCCCGGTAGGAATTGGCATAATCTGTAGATAATACGACAGTCAAAGAGTCTGACGAAGATTCAAAGGTGGGTGTCACACGTCCACAGACTTGTCCCATCAGGCCAGAGTTGGTGGAGGGACCATCATAGACAGCAATGAAATCAAATCTGCAGTAGTTATCCACTTCCAGGCTAGAGAACAAAGGCTCTTGGTGAAATATCTTTTCAAACCAATTCAGTTCTGTTTTCTAAAATCCAAACAATCCCACTACTAAGCAATTAAATATTTTTCCTTCAATGGTATCTCAGGCATATGATGACAACCCTGGGGCTTTCTCAGTCGCTGACAGCACCCCTGAATCTTCAAAAAAAAAAAAAAGGTCAACTTAGTTCAATGCAATATTTTTGCTGTTTTCCTTTCTACACCAATTCTTTGAAGAGTACCCACACATGAGGGTTGCTTATGATCATTTCTGTTTCCCAGGTCCCCCAGTTGTCAGGTGGGTTCCCTGACAAAGAGAACCACAGTACTTACAAAATCTCTTTGAAGTTTAATTTTATCTTATAACCTTTCTCCACTTGTATGTGCCACACACAATAAGCCAGCTCAGGATGTGGCTTTGGATAATTGGGGCTGGTAAAGGATCCTTCCAAGGTGTCCAGGTAACCGCCACAGTCTGGAATAGCTGAAACAGATGTGAAGGTTGCCAAGAACATAAATCAAAATAGATACTTTTCACTTCTGTGTTGTGCATCAAGCTTTACATGTCTCCCCTGAGTGTCATTCCACCTCTGTCTTTCCCATGGGTTACATGTTGAGGTTTTTCCTTCTTTATCATTGAACTTTCTGCTGCCAAATAAATCATATTAAAGTAATGCTATAAAATCTGTCCCAGCTGTAGAGACCTTCCATTACCTGGACTGGTCCAGAGGAAATAAAGTCCTACTCTCAGGACAAGCACTGGAGACTCTTCCTCACCTAGTTCCCACCCTGCTTTCCAGTCTCATCAGCCACTACCATGTGGCCTGCTGTTCCGCCCACCCTTTCTTCCCATTTTCCTCAGGCTGTTGGCTTCAGTGAAGTGAGTCCACCTTCCCTGAATCAGACAAAACATGGGGGGAAAAATACTGAAAGCTCTTTCTGGAGGTGTAAAATGGTCTAGATTAGCTGAGATATAAGATGCATGTCAGAGTGATTTGAGTTCTTCACACACGTATGTTTATTGCAGCATTGTTCACAATAGCAAGATCATGGAATCAACCATGCTGTCCATCAAAAGAGGACTGGATTTTTAAAATGTGGTACATATACACAATGGAATATTATGCAGCCATAAAAAAGAACATCATGAATTTCACAGCAACCTGGATGGAATTAGAGTTTATAATACTGAGTGATCTGTCACAGAAACAAAGATCTGAGCATCACATGTTCTCACTCATAAGTGGACCTTGAACAACTACCATAATACTACAAGAAAAGGATTGACAGTGGCGGGAAACTATGGGGGGGTCAGGGAGGGGCAGGGAGGTGGGATTAATGGTAGTCAATATCTGTCTGGAGAAGGGGGGACACACCTCATCAACAAGGGTACCTGTACAATGAATATTTGTATACCTAACCCTTAACTGTACCCCACAATTTCAAAATAAAAGATACATATCATTTTTTTTTTAAAGATGCATGTCAGGCAGTAGCTAGAGGCAAGGCTTCAAAGGGTGGCCTGGGGCTGGCTTGGGAAAACCTTGACGGCTCCACTCGAGACTTGCTGACACCAAGAAGTCAGTGGTTTAAGCAGGAGAATGACATTGTCAGTTCAAGGTCTTGGAAAGAAAACGGAGTGGAACATTTCTCATAAAAAGCGCTTGCCATTCTGCTTTGAACTACAATGGATATAGGTGCTGTGAATGAGAACATTGTAAATGTAGCCTCTGGTATTCTTAGATTTCAGAGGTGAGGCCAGAGATTCTTGGCATATGCTTCCCCATCTTCTTTGTCAGAATCACCTGCAGGATTGGTTAAACATGAAGGCTTAACCCAGATCTGAGGAATCAGACCAAAGGTAGGTGTAATCCCTGAACAGGCGTTGCAGAAGATCTCAGTGCTATTATTAAACAGTCTGAACGTGGAGTCTCTGCTTTGGGCTCAACACACTATCCCCAATGTGTAGCCACCTGCTCAGCCTCTTGTCTCTGCCTCACCTGGGAGCTGCTTAGAAAGGCAAGTTCATGGGCTCCTCCCAGAACCAATGAATCAGATCTCTGTGGTGGGACCCAGAGTCTGGGATTTAACAAACTCTCCAGGTGATTCACACATACACATACGTTGGAGAACACTGCTCCCCCAAACAGAGAAGCCTCTGAGGGAATAGACTCAGACTGCAGATTGCAAGAACCCAGGTAGAGGAGCGTGTAAGCTCTGCCTGTGGAAGATGTGGGTGAAGGTTTTATACATGAGGACTTACAGGTACCAGGAGAGAAGTAGTAGTAGAAGAGAAAGACGGTTCTTTGAGTTCTTGCAGAGTCAGTGACTATTTGAAACGTCAGCGTATTAGATGATGATTCAAATACAGGAACGAAGTCATTTTTACTGCAGACTTTCCCTAGAAGAGGCTCGTTAGTAGAGTTTCCATCAAAGACTTTAATGTTTTCACTTTCACATCCTCCATCCGGATCAAGCCTGTGGACAGAACACACCAGTAGCTGGAGAAGAGCCACAAGCAAAGGGGATTTCACAGAGCAGAGTCACTTTCTCACGTGGGCGTGGCGGTTTACAAAGTGGTAGCGCATCTGTTTTCATTTAAACCTCTCCAAGACCAATCACCACCCCTGCATCCCTCAACATCAACCTTAACGGGCTTGGGGTGGGGGGTGAAATGCTTTGCCTATGTCTTGTATTAAGTAAATGGTGAAGATGGGCCTAGAATCCAGGACCTCCTTTCTTCTTCCTATTTCCATCACTCCTGTTTCCCACGCTCATGTGACCCTTTGGTGTAGAAACTTTTTAGTTAGAATTGACTCCTATCGACATTTGGTCTCCATGGCTGTTGAAAGGTGAGGCAACCCTTCTTCCAAGGCCACCTCTCCCAAGGTAAAGCAAATTTTAGCATCTTCTAGTTGCCCTTCCCTACCTCCTATCACCATTTCCTCATTCTGATGGACAGTCTCATACCCTGCGTTGGACACAGCAACCGAGGATTTTTGTTTTCTGCCCATTCTGACAAGGTCTCTCCAAATGCCCTCAGAAGACATATGTACAAGATAACTTACAGGAATAAAACAAGGATAGAGAAATCTGAGTGCTCCTTCCACGTTAACCACTTACCTGCTGTGCGACTTTGGACAAGTGATTTAGACTTTCTTGACCTCAATTTCTCTCTTCTATAAAATGGGGATATTACAGTCTATATCTTACTCGTGTTGAGGTTTATAATATTCAGAACATGACGTACCTACCACAGGCCTGGCACACAGGAAGTGTTTCCCACACTTTGTTTTCTCTTCTCACAGCAAGGATGGTTTCTTAATAACTCTACCAATATGTTTCTTAATAACTCTGCCATTTCAGGAAATTTGAAAGGTCCCCTTTCCTTTTCCCGTTTTTCCTTTTTATCTGAGTCTCACTCTGTCACCCAGGCTGGAGTGCAGTGGTATGATCACAGCTCACAGCAGCAGCCTTGACCGCCTAAGCTCAGGTAATCCTTCCACCTCAGCCTCCCAAGTAGCTGGGACTACAGGCATGTACCACCACACCCCGCTATTTATTTTTATTTTTGTAGATATGAGTTCTCACAATGTCGTCCAGACTGGTCTCAAATTCCTGGGCTCAAGCAGTCTTCCCACCTCAACCTCCCAAAGTGCTGGGATTGCAGATGTAAAGTCACCACACCTGGCTTCTTTGAAGGATAAAGTAATTTTCAACTTCAATGATACAGGTCCATGGTTCTCAAAAGTGTGGTACCTAGTCCAGCAGCAGCAGCATTCCTGGAGTTTTGTTACCTATGCACATTCTCAGATCCCACCCACCCATTTGGAAAGGATACTAGAGACTCTGGGCCCAGCAATTGTGCTTTAATAAGTCTTTCAGGTGCTTCTAATGCATGACCAAATTTTAGAATCACTGGAAGAATACAGGCTCCGGAGCCAGGTTGCTTGGATTCAGTTCCTCTCCCACTTGTATTGCTTTGTGACCTTGGACCTGTTAAGTGACTTCTCTGGGCTCTCGTCTACTGAATGGAGGTGAGATTGCATCTGCCTCAGAGGCTTGTTGAGAGGATTCATTGGAAACCCTGAGTCTCTAGAGGGCAGAGTTGTGTTCTCAACCCCATACTGGAATTACCTGGGCACTTATGCTTATTTCAAAATAAAAACCTTAAAATAAAAAAATATTAACGCCTGAGTCCTGCCCCTAGGATTGTGATCAAATTGTGTGGGGTGCAGCCTGGGAATCAGGGTATTTGGACGCTCCCCTGCTGATTCTACTGCATAGCAAAGTTTGGAACCAGCCAAAAGTTTAGTGTTTTAAGAACTAGAATCTGGAACTAGACTAGCTGGGTACTAACCCTGGTCACGCCACTCACTATTTATGTAACCTCAGACCAGATCTCAACCTCTCCAAAAAATGTAGTACTGTAATGTCCATAGTACAAGTACTGACTTCAAAGGATCTCTGTGAGCCAGGCACACAGTTATCATCATGGTGGTCGTGAGGGTCACTACCGCCTTTAGCAGCAGCTGATTTTTTTTTTCTCCCACAGACAACCCCCTTCCCCTGCCCCAAGTTGGTCAGAGTTCATTATTCCTCGTTAGGAAACTGAAGCTTCCACTTACTGGATGTTGGAAAATATCATTCGGATGCTTTTGTTTTCTGGTCTTTCTACTGTCCAGGTGCAGTTCTCATTGGGATTGAGTTGCAGAATCAGGGCTTTGTGGGTCTCTGCCAGATTGGCACCTCCCAGACTGACCTGGCAGCTTGATTTGCCTGTTAGAGATCACAGATGACATTGAGGAAAGTTTTCAGCCACTGCCCCTTCCCCCAGTGATTGGGAATCCCCCTCCCTTGTATGTTCAAACAAAAATGCACCTAATTATAGATGGTCTTCAGCTGACTACTCCAAAGTAAGCTACAAGCAATTAATTTCTCCTTCTTTGACCCTCTGGGGAGAAAGTATTATGATTTCTCTACATATGGTCCGTAAAAGAGAATATATTAGGGCCTGAATAAGAATGGTTTCTATCTACAATGTGTAAAGAATCCTTACAATTAAATAATTAAAAGACAACCCAATAAAAAAATTGAGAAAGAACCAGAATAGACATTTTCCCAAAGAAAATCTATACATGGCCAACAAGCCCTTGAAGAGATACGTGGCATCATTAGTCATCAGGTAAATGCAAATCAAAACCACAACGAAATGCCACTTCACACACATTTGGATGGTCAGAATCAAAAACAGCAGGTGTTGAAAATAGCAAGTGTTGACAAGTATGTGAAGAAAATGGACTGCTTATATACACTTCTCATGGAAAGTGTATAAGCAAATGGTGCAGCTGCTATGGAAAACAGGCTGGTAGTGCCTCAAAAGATTAAACATAAAATACGATAACCCAGCAATTCTACCCCTAGGCATATCTCCAAAAGAAATAAAAGCAAATGCCCACACAAAAACTTGTATGCTAATGTTCACAGCAGCATTAATCATACTAAGCCAAATGTTCATCAACTGACTAATTAATAAATAAAATGTGGTATATCCATACAATGGAACATTATTCACATTATTCAGCAATTAAAAAAATGAAGTACAGTCATCCTTTGGTATCCATGAAAAATTGGTTTCAGGACCCCTGTGGATACCAAAATCAATGACTGTTGAAGACCCTTATGTAAAATGCCACAGTATTAGCATGCATCCTACCTGTATACTTTAAATCTATCTGTATACTTTAAAATATCCTCCCTGTATACTTCAAATCATCCCTAGATTATTTATAATACCTAATACAATGTAAATGATGTGTAAATAATTGTCATACCGCATTGTTTAGGGAATAATGACAAGAAAAAGTCTGTATGTGTTCAGACTTTTTTTTTTTTTTTAGTATTTGCTGTTCATAGCTGGTTGAATCCACGAATGTGGGACTCACGGATAGTGAGGACCAATTGTACTAATACACTCTACAACATAGATGAGCTTTGAAAACAGTATGCTAAGTTAAAGAGCAACCACATATTACAAGATTTCATTCATGTGAAATGTCCACAATAGGTACATCCGTAAAGACAGAATATGGAGTCGTGATTTCCTTGATCTGAGGACAATGGGGGAAATGGAGAGTGACTGCTAATGAATACAGAGATTCTTTTGGAGATGGTGAAAATGTTCTGGAATTAGATAGTGGTGATGTTTGCACAATTCTGTGTATAAACTAAAAACACTACGTTGTATATTTTGAAAGTAGATTTTGTGGTATGTAAATTACATCTTAATAAAGCAGTTATCAAAGAAGGAGGAAAAAGAGAAGGAAGGAGGAGAAATAATGGAAGTAAACTCCCCCAAAATCAAATACTTTGTAATAAAACCTTACTAAAGGTCAAAAACTCCACCTACATAGGAACAAAACTTTTTTCTTTTTATCTTTGACTGATGATAATAGCTTTTTATTTCTTTCCTCTACCAATGACAATTAATAGGTTTATTCATAAAAAATTAGAAAGCAAGGATAAAAAAAGTATAATCCCATAATCACATCTACCTGGAAACAGTTATTAAAAACTCAGTGTAAATATTCCACGCCCTTTCCTCTCCTGTTCTCTTCTATTTCCAGATTTTTTAAATGCTTGAGTATATATATTTTAAACATAACACCATTATGTTGTACAAATTTCAGGTCGCCTTTTTCTCTTAATGTAAGTAATAGACACAGGATAGATCAATGTCATTTTTTAAAGTTGTTTTTTTAAAAAATGTTCCTTTGTATGGATTCATCAAAACCAGATAAACAGTGAAAATTTGTGGGGTTTGTTTACATTTATGTTAAATGAACATGTTTGTAGATAGATCCTTTTAACATTTAATAAAGATAAATTCTCGGTACTGAAATTATCCAGTAAAATTCTAAGTGCTTTCTATATGTTTGTGAACATTATCATATAGGCCCAAATGAAATTAGTACTGATTCAAAATCCCACCGAGAGGAATAAAGTAAATTTTTCTCTGTATTCAGACCAATAGATATAAACATTTTGAAATTTTTTGAAAGAGACCCCTTGAGAGAAGATCATCTCTATTTTTGTGGATAAATCTGATTCAATTTACTTACCTTCAGTCTCCGTTGAGTTCAACTCTGCCAAACAGGAGGCAATTAAAAGGGCCAAATAGATGAACCTCCTTACAAACTCCATCTTTGCAAGGGGCTGGCAGTCTTAAGGACCAGCAGGCTTTTATTGGCTCTGTATTTCATAAGTTTCCTGGACACCTCCAGGGAAATATGTCAATTCCAGTAACACAATAGGTAGATTTATGTGAGAACAGAGCAGCTGTGTGACAGGTTTCTTATTATCAATCCCCATAGAGGGTATTCGCTATGCCCAACTCATTCCAGGAAGAGCTGCACCCAATAAAAGATCCTCATGAGGAGGTCTCCAGCACTGGCAACCAGCAGACACTGTATAATTCCCTGTGGGCCTGACATGAGGGTCTACGCCCTGTCATGACAGATCACCCTTGAGGTCTCAGGACATCTGAAGCCTTCACAGCTTCTCCCAAGGGAAGCCCGTGGGAGGCCTGAGCTACAGTGGGGTGAGGCGATGCAGCACCTGGGCAAACTCGGTCCAGCTGGGTAACACAAGCTCTGCCAGGTGGCTGACCTTGGAGGGCAGTGAAGGAGGAAGGGGAGAAAAAAGAAAGTGCAGATCCAGGCTCCCCTGCAGAGGTTTCTAACTGGTGATGCCTGCAGAGGCTGAAGCAGGTGGATTCGCTCCTCGGGCACTGTGGTTTGCAGCCAAGAGAAAGGACTCCCTAGGAAGAACATGGCGGGGAAGGAGGGGGTTACCTGTTTTTCATTTCATACATGGATGCGTTCATTTAGCAAATGTTCATTACTGTGACTGCAGGGCCTGAGGAATACAGAATTGAACATGAGAGACTCAGTCTTGCCCTCATGGAACTTGTATTCAAAGTGGGGAGTTGGACAAAAAAATAAA